ACTATGAAACTTACCTACTTTACTAAGTTTTATCCTGCAACCTTTTTCCACTAACTCAGATCACTAAATAATGAATTAAACTTCATCAGTCCATCCAAATAGCCACCCAGAATTTTGATGAGTTGAACAGTTAAGCTCCTTGAATGGAATCAGCATGAGTACATCGCTGCTGAGCATTACACCAGACAAGTGAAGTGGCAGTTCAGTGCTTTGATCACCTTCATCTGGTTAGTTGGTGGTATGCAACTGCTTATGTGAACCGGTAGTGTATTCTTCTACGAAATATATGTATGTGAACAAAGCAATACACAGACTCAGCTTCTTTCCCCTTTAGTATAAGTGAAATTTAATAAAAACCCTAAGTTACAGAATAAAGGCTATATGTTCGGAAGATCCAACTGAGGAGGAACTGACGACTTTAGACAGCATTATTATTATCATTATTTTTCCCTTGGGTTCCTAGTGGAACATACGGCCTCAGTAGCACACCTCCATTCCACTCTCTTCTCTCCAATCTTTTAAACCTGGCTCCACGACAGCCCACAAGCTCTCATTTCATTCTCACACGATCTCCTTTATATCACCCTCGCCTTGAACGTCCAACTCGTCGTTTCCTGTTTGGATTCTACTCGAGGGCCTGACGTGTGATGTCCCCAGTCGGCCTTCTCAGTGTATGCCTAATCCATCTCCACTTCCTTCCGGTGCATATTTGTTGGGCTATAGGTTCTTGGTTGGTTTGTTCCCAGAGTTCCTTGTTGGTAGGTAGAGATGAGTTGATTGCCATTCTATACTCTGTTCTATGATGATGTGTAGCGTAGCATTGCGATTTGATCCGCATATGATTTGTTCTTCTTGAAGCCAGCCAGCCTGTTCCGGTAGTATTTTGAATCCCGCGCATTGTTTAGTCTCTCCAGGATGATGTGGCATAATATTTTGCTTGGAGTGGATAGGAGTGGAGCATGATTCCTCGTCACTTCTTGTAAAGGCTTAGGTCTCCCTCTTTTGAGAGATTGACAAGGTAGTCCTTCTTCCAATCAATGGGCAGGTAACTTTCCTTCCTTCCCCTCAAACCATCTGAGGTAGTGGTGTGAGCATGTCCACTAATGTATCTGCGTGTTTTCTGTGCTTCTGGTGGAATTTCATCTGGTACTGATGCCTTCCCGAATTTCAGCATTTTTATGGCGTTCAAGACTTCTGCTTTTGTCGGATGGTCTGTGTTCACCGGTAGTTCTGCGGTTGCTGGCGGTACTTGTGGACGATTACAGGTGGTGGTGGTGGTTGATTCAAGAGTTTTCTGAAGTGGTTAGCTCATCGTTTCTTTTGTTTCTCCTCTTTGGTGTTAACTGAGTTTCTTTACAATCTTTCATTGGTTTCGTCTGAGTTGATCTCCTCCCTACCAGATAGTAACCTGGTTATTTGATATAAATAATGTTGTCGGGTCTCTGTCTCAACTACCTGCATCCTGTTCTTCTTCACTTACCAGTGTGTCATGGAAGTCTCTTTCGTCTTTGCGTGCACTCCTCTTCCCTTTTTTGTCCAGTGTAGTGTTTTAGAGGTCGCACTCAGTTCGTCTTTTCGTTGTTCATCCCTACACTGCACTCCACTGGTTCGTCTTCAGCTTCACCATCTTCCTCTCCCTGCTCCATCAGCTTCAATGTGTCTGTGGAGATTTATTCCTTGTCTACTTTGTTCCTCCTTCCTAACAATGTGATGCCGGCAGCCTTCCAGCCCTCTTTCAGAGAGTTTCAGTGTTCTTCCACGGAGGTTCCTCAAGGATTTTGCTTGATGTCTCCCATTTTGTTATGATGGCTGACGACATGATGTTCTTTGTAGTTTCGTCCTTCAGTTCAGTTTCTCATCTGCGTGTTCAACTTGAACTGTGGCCTACCATCAACTTGGTTTTGCAGGTAGGTTCCTTGCACTAGACAGTGATTGGTGTGAACCTACATCTGCTTCCCTTCTTGACCTGATCTTGTGTCCAGTAGGCTGCGTCTCCACTTTCTTCAGATTGAAATGAAGTTGATCTGATTTTCAGTATAGTGTGTCCATCCAGTGAAATCAAATCCATATCACTACCTTGTGAATATCCTTGTGTTTGTGTACACTGCATTGCCTCCAACTGTCAAGTTATCAAATGCGCAGTAACCTGCAAACAGTTCTCCATTCTCATTATCACTTCACCCAGTGCTTCTCGATGCATGATGATCAGTTCTCTTCCTGTGTTGTCCGATCACAGCCTGGCATTCAGGTCGCCCAATCCATTAGAACTATGATATCGCCAACTGGGATCTTGTCTAGTACTGATTGCAGTTGTCTATAGAATTCCCCCCTTCTTCTCTTCATCTGCATTATTTGTAGGCGCGTAGAGTAACATTGCATGATTGTGATTTTCCTTCCTTTTGAGTTGACTTCATCTTGCTGTCATGATGTTGATCCTGCAGGAGGATATTGGTTCCCACTGCATGAGAGAGAGAGAGCCTTCGATGCTGTTGTGGACATCGTGATAGCCACTCCAAAATTCAGTGTGCTGGTTTGTGTTTGTCGTTTGGGTGACAATATCGGAGTAGATTATTGACTCTGTAGTTAAGAGTATGGAGAGTCCACTTCCATTCCATCTGCAGATTCTTGGCGGATTCCAAGCACTTCCATGCTATACCTCCTCATCTCTTTAGCAATCTGGGCAGCCTTGCTAGGTTCAAACATGGTGCGAACATTCCATGTCTCCACCCTTAGTTTTGCTTTCATCGAGAAAGAGAAGACATATCAGCCAACTGGCTTCCCGAAGGCTTTCAACAACCGGCGTCATTTCGTCTCTCCAATTCCAGCAAGGAATAACTTTGCTTTTATTTTTTAAATTTTCTTCGTGTTTTCAAGAAATACATGATCACAAAAGTGGCAAGAAGGAATATTTCAACGGCTGACAGGAAAACGCTGTACATTCGTCCATAATTTAGAACTGAAGTGCTCAGTGAGATAATCATTCACAAACTGCGCAGATCAGTTCGGAAAACGTTTAATGCTGGTAAAATACAAGTAATGACAACGAGACTTAAAGATGAATTGCCTACACTAGCCACTTCCTGGTGTGTTTAACAATTTGACTGCTTCTGTGGAATCAGTCACGTTGGCCACTGCTCTACGAATTTAATTTCCCGTTCTCGCAAACACCTTCTAGTGTGGTTAAGTAAAGGTGTGATAGAGACAAGTACCAGCTTCACAGATGAGATGAACCATAAAGTAGATGTGAATGAATCGTTCTCCATTCTATACTGGATTACCATCAATTTGTCAAAAGCTACCCAGTTTCTAGCCCTTTAGACAGCAGAAGCAGTGGCAGTCACGATTGAACGAGCTGAGTTATGTGCTCAAAAAGCAAGTACTGCCACTGCAACTACCTTGAATAGATTTGGAAATCCCAAATTCCTTAGCATCTTACTCCACATAATCCAACTTTCTGATTTCACACTGTAGATATCCCTTCATCCCAATAATCTCAAATTGTTTTAACACATTCTTTCAGCCTATTTCGTTCCTTCCCATGAGTAAAATTCTGTTAGGTTATTATTCCTATAATCATCCATCTTTGTTTATTGCACCCAACCTTCATACACATGTCTCCATTATTTTACTAAACCTTCCTTCCTCTTGTAGCATCACCTGTGTCTTATTACCGTTTAGAAATTCAGTTATTCTGCATTGAATTCCACTAACAATTATTTCTATCAATAAGGTTCACGTAAGACTTTTTTGAATTGACTTCCTCAAATATATATAATATTATTAACAAAGGGATAACCGAAATCTAAGTATTGTTAACTTATAACTCCTCTATGTGTGTGTGTAACTTTAGGACCTGAAGAGGAAGTTATCGAAGAGAATATTCATCCGCTCTATTATTATTGTCATCATCATATAGTGTTTAGTTTTCCTAACGGGATATAATTTTTTCAAATACCATATATATACGATTGTACAGCTTGAAAATAAATTCGTTGGAAAGAGTCACTTCGTTGAATATCTTGTTCTTGATATTCTTTGTTCACTCAAATGGCTTTTGAATTTTAAGATATAATGATCTCCTGATGGTGTTTAGTAATAGCAATATTAGGGATAGTATGGTGTAAAACCGTCCGAGATATGAATGTGATGAGTTTCCGACAAATTAGGTATGCCTATTTTTAGTATTATCTAATAGGTAACTAACAACCCCTATCATTGAACTACTCACTTCCTTTTTCAAACAATCTGATTTCTTTGATCATATCAAAAACTTGGAGCTTTTAGCCATGTGGACTGAACAACATTGTTTTTCTGGGTATGATCGCTCTTGTTATAAGCCGACTCGATTTACTATTGCATAATGGGTTTATTAAATAGAACCCTGAGGAGCCATTAGGATCCGACATGACAGTAGGTATGCCAGTACTTTTGAATTTAGCCCTAGGTAAAAACTAAGTCTTAGTATAATTGCTTGTATTATATCGTCGTTGATTGGACCTAATTCATCGGCCTCTCCTGTGCGGATGCCTCGATATTGCCTGTGTTTAAATTATATATAGTAATGATGGATAATGGCTGGGAGTAGAATCAAGGATGCGCACTTCATCCTATTTGAAACTCGTCAGCAGGATGTCTCTGCCTCCCAGTGAGTGATATTGTTCCCATCGAGGCATCCGCACAGGAGTCCTTATGCCAATAGAGAACGATCAATTCGGTCCAATCAACGACGATGTAATACAAACAATAACACTATAATTTTACTCGTCGCACAAAAAGTGGCTATCGTTAGTCGGTGGTGTAGTGGATAATGTTCTGGCGTTTGAAGCGATCGCTTCTGAGTTCTAGTCCCAGGGAGAACATCACCAATTGGTGGGAATCAGGTACATCTAGCTGACGAGTTCCAAATAGGATGAAGTGTGCATGCTTGATTCCGCTGCTATCCACTATCCATCATTACTATTTATAAAGAAACAATGGTCACAAATTAACTGCAAACTTACCAATTAATGTAAACACATTACAATCCAAATGATGAATTTGCCATTCGAAATTCCATAACTTTTGTTCCCATTTAGATGTAGGCTTCAATGGGATTGAAGTGTTCCGACTGTTCTTAGCATAGTTTATAATTTTGTAAAAACACAACATCTGAAGAACAGGCCATGTAAGTAAACTGAGTAGTGAGGCTAGACTTAAACTTCCCATAAAATGATAGAGCAAGGTGTGCATGATTTGACTGAAAAGATTTATTGTTTTTGTTTTGTAAGTAGACTCATTTGAACGATACCTTGAGAATGAGAAAAAGACGTAGAGATATTAGAACTACATGTAACATACCAAAAGAAGTACTACTAGTTTAAGTACTTATTGGTAGACAAACTTTATGAGCAAAAGTATTTGTTCGGGCTTTACTGAAACACTGTAGGTAATCACAATGAACTGAAGTTGAACCTCACTGACCCTGGAAATCTGTGTTAACCGTGAAGAATGACGGGTGGACGCAATGAGTTCACAGTTATCATTCTTTTGTCAAGGCTTTCTGACATAAACCAGGAAGAGTGAGACGTATCTTCCTATGTTATCTATTAGAAGGTATGTTTCCCATTTTGAGGAGCTAGAAAATTCACTAAGAATGCAGCTGACATACGACTGACAATGTTTTTGCCTATCACTCTTCAGTTTCCCAAAATTTCAGACTGACTGATAAGAAACTACTTCTACGACGTCATATGTCATGTCAGCCTTTTGACTGACAGTTTTTATCCTATCATATAGCTATATCTTCTATCTTAAGAAAAAGGCTTGATGACAAGAAGTCTGGCGTCATATATAGAAAACTAGATTCCCTTAAATGTTCGCGATACCTCTCAGAGTTTCGATCAGTCTAAGTTTGTCATTATTGTCACTAGTAAATGGCGTCACCAGTATTAGTTATGTCTATCTCACAAAGTTTGGTTTACTTGTCTGTCTAAATTAAGTTTTGTCGAGAAAACTCTCATTTTAAATGCATCAAGAGTAATTATTAGGCTAAACTACATTCATACACGAGAACACTCCTGAATGTTTTGGATAATATGCAACATAAGAAATGATAGCGTGAACCGCGAAACTCGCTAATAATTTGCAAACTGATCGTCCTATGTATGGTATACTAGTTCTTTCAAATCAGCTAACCATGATCATTTGGTCTAAACAGTTCTCGTCAGTGAAATGAGTTTTCACAGGCCAACTAATGATCAGCTTCTGCCCAAACGACAGAAAGGGAGATCAGGTATTTTAATCGCCGCCATTCGGCTAACGAAACTTGTAGACCAGCATGAAAGGTCTTTAACTAATCATGTTTTTCAGCTGTACACCTCCCATTAAATTTAATCTAACAGCAGGATATTAAGTTAAAGTTTAAGCCTAACTTGTGTCGAACACCTATGTGTTTTTAATCAAATAAGGATACAATAGCATATTTAATGTCTGGTAGGAGAATCCAGGACCCGTTTTTCTTCCTAGTGGGGACTTGCCAGCTGAACGTACCTGCATTCCAGTAGATGTAGTTGATGCCACTGGAACCCAAACACAGTACCCATCCCTTCAAACACTGAGGCGCTATCCACTTGGCCACTGTGAGACAACAGCCACTACCTGTGGACCGGGTATCAGTTGTTGTTTATTGATACTTGTAATTTCCCGTTGCTATGAAACGCACATCCTGACTTCTTCTGCTAGCTATCAAATAGACTAGAATACAACGAATATTCAGACAGTATGAAGCCATCCCTATAGGAACCTATCTCCTAACACAGGTCGAGCAATTCGACTCAGTATAGCAACGCGAAATTACAAATACCAATAAACAAAGGAGAATATCATTAAGTTTTGAAAGAAATAAGCTTTACTACATCATATCTCAAACAACTATGTCTGATAAATAAACTTTGATTGCGCAAGCTTTAACTCAACAATATTAACATCTTTCAATTAAAATATTCTATTAAATTTTAAAATGATTTTTGTCTACTAACACCGTATGAAAGTAGTACTTCTGTTATCTACTGTGAATTTACTTTAACAATGACTAAAATTTACTGCAATATACCACCACTACAACGTTCATCTATTTTTCCAAGATTATGCATGAAAAGTTCCGTGTAAGATCGAACTACCAGTTATATGTTATTGTTCTAACCATTACCGAATACTTAATTATTTTAGGATTTTAACTGGCACATGCTTCCCACTTGAACTCTTATATTCATCGATTAATACTTGAAATAAAAGATGAGCCTGAAGTAGTGCTAATACAATAGTTATATTTTACACCTCAATAACTTTGTATTATCTTTTGTCTTCATTACTCATCTCAGTCAAATCATAGGTACATGGTCCCGTGAATTTCTGTTTGGTAGTAAACACAAAACATGAAAGATATTCAAATGATAGCCAACTTCCTTTGTTGTGTAAGGAAATACTCGCTCAAATCAAGGTCAAGTGTAGACACGACCTTGAAAATGCATAAAGGTCAACTCTGTACATCAGCTGTCGTGTAAATATAATGCATCACAATACAGTCGTATTCAGTCCTACCTACTAATTCCTATTTAAAGGGTTAAACATTCTCATTTGGTTATAAAAGAATACAAACTTCATCAAATAAATTTTTTTTCGGCTATATCATTCTCTTCAGCCGTACAATTTCATGTAACCACAGTATGCATAAAGATGTCAATACTAGTTAACCAATAACTCCTAGTAGTTTGTGGTAGTTATAAATAAAATATGAGACAGAGGAAAGTATTTGACAAAGTGAGTGAATGTTATTGGAAATCAAAAATTAAAAAAATTCGCAAAAAGGTGAGTAGACAATAATTAGTGAGTAAATGAATTATTATTATTTTATTTGTCCCTTGGGTTCCTAATGAAACATACGGCCTCAGTAGCACACCTCCATTACACTCTCTTCTCTACAATCTTTTCAACCTGGCTCTACCACTGCCCACAACCTCTCATTTCTTCCTCACACCACCTCCTCCATGTCACCCTCACCCTCACCTCAAACACCCAACTCGTCGCTTCTCATCTGGGTTCCTTCCACTCGAGCACTGGCCTGGTGCGTGATTTCCCCAGTCCACCTTCTCAGTGTATACCCAATCCATCTCCACTTCCTTCCGATGCATATTTGTTGAGTGACAGATTCCTTCCTGGTTGGCTCGTTGCCAGCCAGCCAGCCAGCCAGCTAGCTAGCTAGCCAGATTTCCTTGTTGCCTATTATTCTCATTATTCTGGCCATCTCAGCTTCAGTAACGAGTGGTCGTAGGCAGCAGCTGTTGATGGATGTCTGTAGTTTGTTGGAAATCCCTTTCGTAAAGTGCCAAGTCTCTTAACCATCACATAGCAGCACTGACTTGACTGATGTTGGTGTTGAAAATCCTGATGTTGTTCACACTGTATGCTGAGTATAGCAGACCTCTACACTGGTTTCAGGTTAATGGAAGACTGTCTTGCAGACTTTCCGATCGTGGCTGGCTCTGACATCCTCGTCTCTGTCGCCAACTGTATTTGAAACAGTGTTGCATAGGGAGGTGAAAGAGGCTACTTCCTCTAAGTTTCTCCCGTTGATGGTGATTGGAGTTTGTTGGTGGTGTTGTTGTTGTTGGTTGGGTATCTGCATCACCTCTGTCTTCTCCACCTTCACCTGACGTCCTGTCTTCACTGCCTCTTCCGTCAACTTGTCAATTTTTATCTGTAGATCTTCAAGATTGTGCGACATCAGATACAAGTCATCGGCGAAATTCAAGTCTTCTAGGTTCTTTCCCCCGGTCCAGCGTATCCGAGTAAATGAATTAGGAATTCGTAACTGAACCAGATGGAAATCGTTAACGTAATAACAAAGTGAACATTCAAAGACTAGATAGGCTTTACAACTGGGATTAAGAAGTGAATCAGGATAGTGAATGGCAAAATTGCTTTAGGATATACAAATACGATTTCGATTGTTGTATTTTTAGAGTTTCGACAGTGCAAAGTAAATTGGAATTTTAACTCAACCTTTATTTTCTTAATACTACTGTTGTTATTACTACTAGTAATATAATAGATAATAAACCTCTACAAAATATATAGCTACTTTACAAACATATTCCCTAGAAAGTTATTTTGTTTAGAAAAGAATCCGTGTAAACAAACTTTTGTACATTGTCTCTTATATTTACTATTAGTATTTAGCTTCAAATCTGTTTACTAAATGATGAATTAATTGCCATTATGTGAACAGTGAAAATAAACATTGAGGTGACTCAAATGTTCAATTTTTTAATTTTTTTTAAAACATCCCAATAAACAGTAGACAATTACACTAACATTAAAAGATAATAATTTTTAGTCTTTGTTGAAATTTGTACATTTAGAAGTCAGATGTTAAACATCTGTAGTAAAATCTTCTTTCTTATAACGACAGAATAATCCTAAATATACCATTGCATGTTAAATCAAAGAAACCAATGTAGAGTAAAATATGAATTATGCACAACAAGATGACGATAGTAAATTCAAACAAAAACTTTTGTTGAACATTGAACCATGAATACCACTTTATTCTATTAAATAGTTTCTTGTAATTATACCACATTTGTTTTATATTTCATTAGTTAAACAATAAATTCTCAAATAGTTTCCAATTTCATATGAATTCATGTTATAAAATACTTTGGTTGGTACCAATCTAATGAATAATTGTGCATTAAATCATATCCGTTCAACTAAATAAGATGTAAAAGTTTAAGTGTTAAAATAGTGAACAAATTTTTACTTAATGTAACAGAAATATCCAATTTGTATTATGTACGCTTAAAACTCTAATAAAAAGTTCATTCAGGTGGTAAAATTCATGGGATATTAAGAGAAATGCTCATTAGACCACACATGATGATACGTTTTGTAAAGAAAAATTGCAACAGGAAGGTGATTTATTGGAAAATGGAAATGAAATTCATCATTGAAAATAACATATTCAAGAATTTAATAAATGTTGTTACCTATGGGTTGTTGGATAATGTTTTCTAGCACATATGCAATAAACTAATGCCTTTTTAACATATAATGAGATAATCCAGTTTATCCGGTCAGGCTTATGATCATAACACATACTCTTTCTACACAAATGTATCTTTATTTTGGGTATCTGAGATAGCCCTAGTTCGGCAGACTAGTGTTAATGCTGGGTGATGATTGAAGATGAAATGAAAACCTGGGTTACAGCAGGGTTCAAACCATAGGTTTTCAATCCCGATGCTTTAC